GGGCCCGGTAATGTATTTTCTTAAAGATTTATCTTATTTATTTGAAAGGCAGGGATATGGGGAGATGAAGAGAGACAGAGATCCTCCATCTGCTGATTCAGACGGGCACAATGGCCAGGACTGGGTGGAGCCAGGAGCTTTTCCCAGGTTTGCTCCACAGGTGCAGGGCCCTGACCACTTGGACTGTCCTCTGCTGCTTTCCTAGGCTCGTGAGCAGGGAGCTGAATGGGAAGTGGAGCCACAGGGACTCAAACCGGTGCCCATACAGGATGCCGGCACTGTAGGTGGCAGCCCAAGCTACCAGGCATGATGCTGGCCTGCAGTGGTTCTTAGCCACCTCAGTAGCAGGTCTCAGAGCTTGCAGGAGGCCCTAGTCAGTGGCTGACAGCTCACTCCTGCCCAGCAGCTTCCCTCAGCACCACTCTCTGGGACTGTGGCTGTAAGAGGAAGCTGCCCATCCCACGCTTCCGGGAAGCGTGTTTGTCCCCAGCAGAGAGACAGGGTTACCTGGGGCCACATTCCCGCCCAGTTCCCTTTCAGTCTGAAGCTCCCTCCCTTCGCTTCACTCCTCCGCTACCCCTCCGCACCAAAGGCACCTTATTGGGTGAGACTGTGCTTAGCTCAGCCTGGGGGTCCCAACTGCTTCCACCAGCGGGGGCCACTGTGAAGCCTGGGGGCTGGGGACGCATCCTTCACATTGCTGAGTCCACTCTTCACGGGGACAGGGGTCTCAGTAGGCTCAGACGCACTTGAATTACTTGGGTTCTTGCCTGGTGCCTGGGAAACCCAGTCGGAGCTCCGTGCTCCTGCTTCTGTGCTAGGGCAGGCCCAGCTGTGGCGGGGGTTTGGGTGTGGCCTAGAGGACCTCTTCTCCTCTTCACCCTGCTTTCCAAATCAATCAAGAGTACTCGAATCCTCCATCTGTGATGCCAGCATCCATACGGTGCCAATTCCTGGTCCAGCTCTCTGTTTATGCCCTGAAAAACAGCAAAGGATGGCCCAGGTGGGAGACCCTGAGGAGGCTACTGGCTCCTGGTTTGGGATCGGCTCAGCTCTGGCTGTTGTTCCATTTGGGGAGTGAACCAGCAGATGACAAATTTGTCTCTTCTCTGTAACTTGAGCAAAAACATAAATAAAAATCCTAAAAATATAAAAACAAAACAACGCAGTCCAAACTGTTCCACTTCCAACCCAGCTCCCCACTCACAGGAAAGCAACACAGATCAAATGCTCAAGTTCCTGCACGCACGTGGGACACCCGGATGGAATCCCAGGTCCTGGCTGGCACCCAGCTCGTTAGGGTCATTATAGTCACTTGGGTGCCAAGCAGGAGATGAAGGTCTCTCTGTAACAGCCTGTCAAATCCATTTTTTCAAAGGATGTCTCTCGGGGTCCCTTTAGTGAGGACCGGGACTCGAGGTGTGATATGTGACGTCCGTGCTGAGAAATTTGGGACACAAGGGATGCAAAGCTGAAATGAACCAAAGCACATTTTATCTAATTTTTCTGGAGCAACTTACACCAAATTTTTGCAAAGCAAGCAGGCTGGTAAAAGCTACAAGTTAAGGGCCCAGTTTGGTAGCCTAGTGGCTAAAAAGGCCTCACCTTGAGCACGGCGGGATCCTATATGGGCGCTGGTGCTAATCCTGGCGGCTCCACTTCCCATCCAGCTCCCTGCCTGTGGCCTCAGAACGCAGCCGAGGATGGCCCAAAGCCTTGGGACCTTGGACCTGGGTGGGAGACCCAGAGGAGGCTCCGGGATCCTGGCTTTGGATCAGCAGATCAGCACAGCTCCAGCCGTTGCAGCTGTTTGGGGAGTGAATCATTGGACGGAAGATCTTCTCTGTGTCTCCTCTCTGTATATTTGGCTTTCCAATAAAAATAAATAAATCTTTTTTAAAAGTTACAAGTTAATTAAACAATAGCATACAAACTGCTCCAGCAATAGATACAAGGGATTTGGAAAACAATCGGCAGGTCTCAGGCAACAGGGTAAGTTAACATGAGTTACAGGAACCAACACCAGTAAACAGATCCAACAGGAAAAGGAATCTAACAGAACTTTGTACACACATGCTTAGACCACAATCACTAAAACAAGAAATGATAATGAAAACCTCACACCTCCCCTGCGATTTCTCCAGGAAGCTTGGCTCTCAATCAGCTGACGGCATTTGAGATTCGGAGTCCTCTGGCTTTTGAGGGGCAAAACCTTCAACAGATATCACTTTTTAAAAAGATCTATTTTATTTTTTTTTATAGCAAAGTCAGATATACAAAAAGGGGGAAGAGACAGAGAGGAAGATCTTCCTTCCGTTGATTCACTCCCCAAGTGACCACAACGGTAGGAGCTGTGCCGATCAGGAGCCAGGAGCTTTTTCTTTTCTTTTTTATTATTATTTTTTAAATTATATTTTGACAATCTTTACATAGTTAATCAGGGTAAAAAGGTTCAATGGCTATAGGAAAATGGGTAAGACTATTATTTTTTCCATATTGTTTCCTTCATGTTTAAAGGGGGATATTGGGCCTGGCGCGGTGGCGCAAGTGGTTAAGTCCTCGCCTTGCACGCCCGGGATCCCATATGGGTGCCGGTTCTAATCCCGGCAGCCCCGCTTCCCTTCCAGCTCCCTGCCTGTGGCCCGGGAAGGCAGTCGAGGACGGCCCAAAGCTTTAGGACCCTGCACCCGCGTGGGAGACCCGGAAGAGGCTCCTGGCTTCGGATCGGCATAGTATCGGCCGTTGCGGCTCACTTGGGGAGTGAATCATTGGACGGAAGATCTTCCTCTCTGTCTCTCCTCTCTGTATATCCGCCTTTCCAATAAAAAAAATAATAATAAAAAATAAAAATCTTAAAGGGGGATATTAAGGGAGAAGGCCCACCCAATTTGCCACCCTCCCCAGATCTCGGATGCAGGGTATGCTCTGAGGTTCTTGCTCAAGTGGTTTTGATATTTCAACAGTTATGAATTGCTGCCAATCTTGCCACTCCAAGCACTATGAGGTCTTTGAAGAATCCACTGATTGACATAGTCCATCATAGAGTCTCTGTTTGCCCCATATTTTGCTGCCAAGATATAGGTGAGATGGTTGGTTGACCTGTTCTGTCTTCTCTCTTTTCTTGGTTAGGGTTCTGAGTTCAGCATTTCGATTGGGGAGATCTCCAAAGAAACTTTGTCTGAGGTGTTCTCAAACTAGATTCTTGTATGTGCTAGCAAGTACAGGGCCCGGCACAGTCCATCGCCCCAATCAGCTGGTGGTTGCGATTGCTGGGTTGATTCTGTTTTCACTCCCAACTTCCACTGGAACCAATAGGTGTTGCAGTCCAGCCTGGTTCTGCCCAGCACATACTCGGCCCTTGCATAAACCAGTGGGAGCTGCAGCCTAGTCAGAGCAACCCACAGTAACCCCCACCAGGCCCACCCCCTACCCTGGTTTGCCAGTAGTAGCAGTAGTCCAGTCTGTCCCACACCCCATTCCACCCCAGTCACTGTCCTAGTTTTATGCCCTCCTGTAGAAGTGGTAACCCAAGAGAGAGGACCCCACTATTTTCCTCCCAGGCCTCTCCCACTCCCAGATTATGCACTCTCCAGGTAGTTCTGTGGTTTGACTTGACAGAACTAACCCCCAGTGCCTGCTTCTGCCAGCTGATGCTCTGGCTAAGCCCAAACAACCCTCACCCACTCTAATTTTGTTTGCACCAGTAGGAATAATCAGCCCAGCCTGGCTTTTCCCTGATCTAGTCCACATGAGGCGTACAGGTGTTGTAGCCCTGCCTAGTCTGGTCTGCCCACATCCCAGGCCACGCTCACCAGTGGGAGTAGCTGTCCAGCAAAGGAACCACCCCTTATTCCCCTGCCAGCTCTGCCCCCTCCCTTCCTGGTTCTTATGCTTGCTGGTTGGGCACTGCGGTCCCTTCTGGTACAGACAACCTCACCTTGGCATTCCATATTGAACACTTGTCTTTGTTGAGACCGAACCTGGCTCGACCCACACTGTTCTGGTGCTTGGATTTGCCAGTGGATGACGTGGACAGATTCAGCCTGGTCTTCCCCTGACCCCTGCCAATTGTATGCCAGTGGGTAACTTTCCATGGCCTGTTCTGGGCTGTTTCCTATCATGTTTCTTGTGCTTACCTGCAGGGTCTGTGTCCTGCCAGAGGAGTTGCCCAGGCTCCTCCATCAGAATCTCTCCCAATGCCAGGTTTCACGCTTACCACTGGGTCCATGAGCCAGCCCTACTCAGTCCATCTCCTGTCTTAGCAGGAGCAGTGGCTTTTCCTGACTGGCCTTCAACCCAAACTGGTCCTTGCCGTTGGATGTTTCAGCCCAGCCACGGTTTGTCCATACCCACATATGGCTCACACATGGCTCAGTAGGGGGTTGAGGCCTTGCCTAGTAACCAGGAGCTTTCTCCTGGTCTCCCATGTGGGTGCAGGGTCCCAAGGCTTTGGGTCGTCCTTGACTGCTTTCCCAGGACACAAGCAGGGAGCTGGATGGGAAGTGGAGCTGCCAGGACATGAACCTGTGCCCACATGGGACGCTGGTGCCACAGGGTGTACATTAGTCCTCTGAGCTCTGGGATGGGCACTTTTGTCTTTCGTAGCTTTGGGGAGAGCACCATGTACACTCATTGCAACCCTATAGCTGCCCTAACCACCTCCTGGGTCATCACTTGCTGACCCCCGGGGCCAAGGGACCCAGCTCCACTCGTCGGCCTCTGCTCGAAGAGCGCGCCCATTCCAAACAAAGCCCGCACGCCGGCTACACACGCGCTGACACGCACCCTCTCCCGCCCGACCGGAAGTCCACTCTGGCCCGCGCCGTTCCTCTCGCTGGTGCGCTCGGCGGCACTCGGGGCCGGCGCCCTTCCGGCGGCAGGGGGCGCACGCGGCCGTGCCGGGCTGCTCTGCCCCGAGGCGTTCGCTCCACTGCTCCGCGGCGCCGAGCTGCTGCGGCCGCCGCTCCGGTTCCCCCGGCAACGCACCGGGAGCCGCCGCCATGGATGCGCCGTCGGGCGCCGGAGCTCGCCGGGCTCGCGGCGGCCTGGGCGCGGCCTCGCCGACGTCTTCGGGCCGCTCGGCGCGGGCCCCGGCTGCGCCCTGGGCGCGCTTCTCCGCCTGGCTGGAGTGCGTGTGCGTGGTCACCTTCGACCTGGAGCTGGGCCAGGCGCTGGAGGTGAGCGGCCGCGGCCCTCCCGCCAACCCCCTCGGGGACAAGGTCCTGGCTGAGGTCGGGTGGAGGAGGCCGGGCCCCGCGCCTTGCACCTGCCGCGCCCCTCCGTCTGTCCACTTCCCAGCCCTGGGCGGGGCTGGCAGCTGCCCTTGCGCCCCCGACTGCCCCCACAGAGTCTGGCCGCTGGACACTCCTCCGGTGGCCCAGACCTAGGCCCTGCGGTGTGTCCACCCGGCGTCCCCTGGCCTGGGCCTTCCCTGTGGTCTTGCCGCCACCTGCAGCTCCTCCTGCCGCAGGTGTGGACGGGCCAGACGGGGAGGGGCCGCGTGCCAGGCGGGGCTGGCGGGCAGCGAGCGCAGGGTCCCCGCCGCTGGCTGGAATGGAGCCCCAGCTGAGTCTCAGGAAAGCCAGGGACGCGTGGCTCTGCCGGCGAGCAGCTTTCCAAGGTCTGAGAACCGGAGAAGCGCAGCATTTTCTCCATCGGAACATGCGTCTGGGGCGCCCGGCGCTGTCCCACACCCCCCGCCCCCCGTCCCCGCTGGAGCCATGGCCACTCTGTCGCGTTGCCCGCTGAAGCCCCAGGAGAAGGGAGGAAACTTGCAGTGTTGTGGTCTAGGCTGTGGCCCTGGCCTTTTAAGCACAGACAGCAACAGAGCTTAAAGTGCTACATTTCATTCAGAGGGTGAGAAGTAGAAGCAGAAAATGGGTGAGGGAGAGAGATACTTTTTATCTTAAGGGTGAGAAATTGCTACCTTTTGTTCTCTGTCCACAGGGAGCAAGAGAGCGAGGGAGAGGGGAAGGTGAAAGTGGTCAGTGATGCCCCAAACCGTGGAAAGGGCTTTGATAGGGCTTGAGGGAAGAGGCCAGTGCAACCCCGCCTCCCCCGCCCCAAGCAGTGATGGGGAGCATTACCTGACAAACTGCTCATAGGTGGCTGAGACCATTACACGGGGGAAGTGTGACGCTCAGCCTCCATGGCTCTCTGAAGCCCTTGTGGATCCAGCCCCACCTTCAAGTGCTCCTGGTTTCCCACCGCCCCTCCTGGCTCCCACCCTCCTGTATATGTAAGGATTGATTTATTTGGAAGGCTGAGTGACAGGTCCTTCAGGTGTGGGAACGGAGAACCTACCATGTGAGTGCAGGGCCCTGGGTCCTGGGGTGCCTTCTGCGGTCTCCCCAGGTGCCTTAGCAGGGAGCTGGGCTGCACGCAGAGCAATTGGGACTGGAGCTGGTGCTGTGGTCCTGGCTGGCAGTATGCTGAGCTCTGCCAGATCTGCATGCTCCCAGAGGCCTGGTCCTCCCCATCCATGCCCTCCCTACAGCCCGGTCCCTGTGTCTGGGCTGGCTCTGAGTATAGCTGCTTCCTGTACCTCAGGGTGCTGTGTAGCTGGGGCTCTGGGCTCCAGCCTTGTCAGCATCCTACGGGGAGGTCCCTGTAGCATACGGGGTGGTTGGAGCCCCAGAGCTTCCAGCAGTGCCTGTGTGGCCTGTTCTAGACCATTCCGAGGTTCTCTCACAGAGTCCCTGAAGGTGGGGGCCCAGTCCATCTGGTCACTGGCTGGGCCTACAGGTGGGCCAGGAGGGGTGAAGCTGTGTGGACAGGGGAAGGGGCTAGGGCCTGACAGGCCGCTTGGTCAGGTGACATGCGAGTGAAGATCCATAGAGGTGGCATGGCTAGGGCCCCTGTAGAGAGAGAGTTAGTGGGGCAGGTGAGAAAGCATCCAGGCAGGGTCCTGCAGCCACTCCAGGCCAAAGAGGAGATGACCAGAGGTGGGCTCTGAAACCCTCCCCTTCTGATGTGGCGGGAAGCCAGGAGAGCCAGTTGCAGCCTGGCAGAGGGCAGCAAGGCGGACTGGGGGTGTAGAGGGGGTCCCTTATGCTGGCCCTGAGGAGCCTGGGAGGCCTTAGAGCAGCCCTGGGCTGAGGGCCAGGGAGAGGCTGGGAGACGTGGGAAGGGTGGAGTTGGGCTCAATGTTATCTGGTGCTCTGTCCTCCACAGCTCGTGTACCCAAGCGACTTTCAATTAACAGACAAGGAGGTAGGTGGCAGCGCCCTGCCCAGGGAGGAGCAGAGATGGAACGAGTTGGCCCTGACAGGGGGTTGTGTGTTTCAGAAAAGCAGCGTCTGCTACCTGTCCTTCCCCGACTCCCACTCAGGTGAGGGCTGCTTGCTGCCACAGGGATGGGGGCTTGCTGCCTGTGGGCAGAGGACGTGGCCAGTGGCCACCCTGGCCAGGGTCCCCCCACCTGTGGGCACCCTCACTCCAGGCTGCAGCTTGTGGGTGGCTTCTCAGAGTCACGTGAGCAAAGGATGTGGTCACTGGGCACCCTCACTACAGGTTGCAGCATGTGGGTGGGTTCCCAGAGTCATGTGGGCAGAGGTGTCCTGGGCCAGTGGAATGTACCCTCCTTCACCAGCACAGTGGCCCCTGGGAGCCAGGCTCCCTGCTCCTTGTACCCTTGGAGTGTGGGGGTCAGCGTGGCACTCGTGCAGGAGGCCAAGTCCATCTCTGCAGAGAAGCCCAAGCTGCTTCCTTGGGTGCAGACCTAGAGCAGCTGTGCTGGGTGGGAGAGCCGGTTGGGGGCCAGGGACCCTCTGGCTGTGTTCAGGGCCCTGACATGGGACAGGCTTCTTCTCAGGTTGCCTGGGGGACACTCAGTTCACCTTCCGGATGCGCCAGTGTGGAGGGCACAGGAGCCCCTGGCACAACGATGACCGGCTGTACAACAGCAGGGCGCCCGTGGCACTGCAAGTGAGCCTCCTGGCCATCCCCCCTCCCCGCCCTGGGGCCTACTAGGCTCAGTGGAGGCTGGCCCTGTGGTGCCTGAGTCTCCTGGGGCCTGCCTCCAATCCTGCTGGTTCTGTCAGCCCAGGTGCCAGCCTCCCCTGGGTGGCTTCACCAGGGCCTAGGGTCTTCCCTTTGCCCCTCATGTCAGCAGTGGTGTTCCTTGTGGGTGGCACTGCCCACCTCAGGTCCTGGGCCACCCTGTCCCTCTGGGAGGCTCGGCTGCCCCTCTGGGAGGCTCGGCTGCCCCACAGGGCTGACTCTCTGCTGCTCTTAGAGGGACCCAGCTCACTACTTCGGCTATGTGTACTTCAGGCAGGTGAAAGACAACTCCGTGAAGAGGGGTTACTTCCAGAAGGTGAGCTGCCAGAGCCCGAGGGACTGCCCCACGCCTATGAGGGAGCCTCAGTCCCTCTGGAATGTTCTTATGGGAGAGGCAAAGAGGGTTCACGCCTCAAATGCCCCCAGCCGTCAAGGCAGGGTTGGGCCAAAGCCAGGTGTCCCGTGTGGGTGACAGGGGCCATCTTTGCTGCCTGCCAGGTGTGCAGCCACTGGATCCCGGGCTCCATCCAGGCACTGTCACATGGGACCTGGGTGTCCCCTATGAGGCAGGCAGGTGGGCCTTCTCAGAGCTGGCTCTGGGGGTCTTGGCAGGCTTGAGGCAGCTGGGGTGACCTCGCCTTCCTTGCCCATCGCCTCCCCCCCGCCCCAGTCTTTGGTGCTGGTGTCCCGCCTGCCCTTTGTCCGGCTCTTCCAGGCTTTGCTCAGCCTCCTGGCCCCCGAGTACTTTGATAAGCTGGCTCCCTGCCTGGAAGCAGGTAGGTGGCTGGCAGGAATGGATGGTGTGGGCGGGCCTTGGCAGGCCACCAAGCAGCTCCTGACGTGGGCCACCTGTGTCCACAGTATGTAACGAGATTGACCAGTGGCCAGCTCCAGTGCCTGGGCAGACCCTGAACCTCCCTGTCATGGGGGTTGTCCTCCAGGTGAGGGCTGGCCAGCCTGCACATGTGTGCCTGTGTGTGCCTATAGCTGTGTGTGTACGTGTGCCTGTATGTGTGTGCCTCTGTGTGTGTGCCCGTGTATGTACCTTGTGCCTGTGGATACACACCTGTGTGTGTTTGTATGTGCCTGCGTGTATGCAGATGGTGTGTGGAGATGTCAGCTGCTTCCTGCCCCAACAGGTGCACATCCCATCCAGGGTGGACAAGCCTGAGTCCAGCGCTGTGAGGCAGTGTGACCACGAGGTGGGGGCTGAGGCTGAGAGTACATTGACTGAGTGTTCGACTAGGCTGAACGGCACCTGGCCGGGGTCCTTGGCTTGCCCTGTGGGGTGGCTCTGTTTCCATGCAGGCCTGTGGACTTCCCCTCTCCCCTGTGGGGTATAGGGCAGAGACTGTGGTCTCTCTTTGTGCCCTCAACCTCGACTTGTCCTCCTCTCCCAGAACCTACTGCCAGCCCCGGTGGTCCTTGCCAGCGTCCATGAGCTAGACCTGTTCAGGTGAGCCCACCAGAGCGTGTGCACAGCAGCTCCTCACAGTGACTCTTGGGGGGAATTGTGCCCAGGTGTCTGCACCTGGAGGGAAGTGGGCAGGGAGGAGCCGGCAGGAATCCTCCAGTGCCTGAAACGGCCCTTCTGGGCTTTGAAACTGTTCTGCCCTATGCTGGTCTCGAGGCTGGGCCGACATGAGTGGCCATGGTGGCCTGCCACGTGGACACACTCAGGTGTGCAGATATGACTGCCACTGTATACCTCAGCCTGTGCACCGGAGAGGCCTCTGGGCTGGGAGAAGAGAGTCCCAGGACTGGGGCTACCTGCAGGCCGCGCACCCAGCTGCTTCCACCTGGCACCAGGTGCTTCCGGCCTGTGCTGGCTCATGTGCAGATGCTGTGGGAGCTGATGCTGCTTGGGGAGCCCCTGCTGGTGCTGGCGCCTTCACCCGACATATCCTCAGAGCTGGTGCTGGCCCTGACCAGGTGGGTGCCACGCCTGGGCCAGCTGGGGCCACGAGTCTGTTCAGGCCACAGCTGCTCACCTTCTGCGTCTGGCTCCCTCAGCTGCCTGCAGCCACTCAGGTTCTGCTGTGACTTCCGCCCCTACTTCACTGTCCATGACAGCGAGTTCAAGGAATTCTCCACCCGCACACAGGCTCCGTAAGCACTGCCCCAGTTCCCACACCCTGACCACTCTGCTCCACTCCCGGGGCCCAGTTTTGCCTCTCCCTCTTGCTCTCTCTCTGTCTCTAGACCCAACGTGGTCCTGGGAGTCACAAACCCTTTCTTTATCAAAACGCTCCAGCACTGGCCCCATGTCCTCCGTGTCGGGGAGCCCAGGATGTCAGGTGAGCGTCCCCAGGTCAGCTGCTGCCCGTGGAAGGGGAGGTGTCTGAACCAGTGGGTGTGCCCAGAGTGGGCACTGAGGCAGCTGCTGAGCACCTGGGCACCTCTTGCAGGAGACCTTCCGAAGCAGGTCAAGCTCAAGAAACCCTCGAGGCTAAAGAACCTCGACACTAAGCCAGGTCTGAACCCTGGGCTGGGGTCCATCCACGAGGGGACCTGCCCTGTGCCCTGGGTGGGGGCCATCTGCAGGGGGCCTATTCAGTCCCCTGGGCTGGGGTCCGTCCACGAGGGGGGCCTGCCCTGTGCCCTGGGCGGGGGCCGTCCATAGGGGGGGTCCTGCCCTGTGCCCTGGGCTTGGTTCTGTCCACAGAGGCCTGTCCAGTCCCCTGAGCTTCAATCCATCCATGAGGGGTGCCTGTCTGGTCCCCTAGGCGGGGGCCGTTCACAGGATCCTATCCACAGGGGTCTGTCCAGTTCCCTGGGCTGGGGTCGATCCACAAGAGCCTGCCCTGTTCCCTGGGTTGGGGTGTGTCCACTGGGGGCCTGTCTGGAATTTGACAGGCCCCTGTGAGAGTAGCCAGGCCTCTTGAGCCTTCCTCTTGGTCCTCAGAGGGCTGGGGGGCATCTTGGGGTTCTCCTTGGTCAGGGGTTGGGGTGGGTCAAGGTGTGCAGCACAGCATGCCAGGTGCGCTGTGAGTGGAGATGGAGTACTGGACGCACCGTTGTTGTCCTGTAGGCCTCTACACGGCCTACACAGCCTACCTGCATCGTGACAAGGCCCTGCTGAAAAGGCTGCTAAAGGTAAGGGCAGGGGCCCACACAGGGCCTCTTCCCGGGTGCTGAGGGCTGGGTCCCTCCCCGGGGTGCTGAGCCCTGTCTCCCTCCCAGGGTGTGCAGAAGAAACGGCCATCGGATGCGCAGAGCGCCCTGCTGAGGCGACACCTCCTGGAGCTCACTCAGAGCTTCATTTTCCCCCTGGTGAGGCCCAGGCGGGGGTGAGGGCTGGGCAGGTGCTGTGACCCCGGCTCACTGTGTCCCCTTACAGGAGCACTACATGGCCAGCCTCATGCCACTGCAGAAGAGCATCGCACCCTGGAAGGTCAGGTCCCAGGGGCCTGGGGAGAGTGGTTGCTGGCCGAATGCGGGAGGTGGGCAGGTCTGGGATTCTGCAGAGGTGGGAAGAGGTGTGGGCAGGCAGGAGCCACCATCCCTGCCCCTGCCAGGAGCCCCTCACCAGGCAGAGCAGGGGAGACCACAGGGAGGGTTGCCCGGCCCAATGGCTCATTTACCCAGTCCTTTTTCAGACACCCCCCCAGATCCGCCCCTTTTGCCAGGACGACTTTCTGCACAGCCTGGAGCACGCCGGGCCCCAGCTCACCTGCATCCTGAAGGGTGACTGGCTGGGCCTCTACAGGTGAGTGGGTGTGGCTGTGGGCGTGGCTGTGGGCACCTGGGGGCAGGTCCACAGCCTGGCTGCTGCCACCTGCAGGAGGTTTTTCAAGTCCCCCCACTTTGACGGCTGGTACCGGCAGCGGCACCGAGAGATGGCCCACAAGCTGGAGGCCCTGCACCTGGAGGCTCTGTGTGAGGCGGTGAGGATGGTGTGGGTTGGGGAGCCTGAGCTGGTGGGGGCACAGATGAGCGATGGAAGAACCCTGTGTCCCTGGCAGGACCTCGAGACCTGGATGAAGGACAAGTCCGAAGTGGAGGTCGTCGATCTGGTCCTGAAACTTCGGGAGAAGCTGGTGAGGCCTGGCCCTGCTCTGCCCTGCCTCCCGCTGGGGACGCCCACCTGACCTCTGCTGCCCCTACAGGTGCGGGCCCAGGGCCACCAGCTCCCTGTAAAGGAGGCAACGCTGCAGCGGGTTCAGCTGTACGTCACGATGGCCATTGGCTCCCTGCCCAAGGACCTGCAGGCTGTCCTGTGCCCACCCTAGGACCAGCCCGGATCCTCAGGCCCCTCCCTGCATCACAGCCGCCTGGCAGTAAAGCTGGCCTTCAGAAGCACAGCCTGGTCCCTGCCTGGGGGACTCTGCTGGCAGAGCTTGCTCTTGCTGGGCCCCACCTGCTCCCCACAGGCTGCGGTGGGGAAGGGGGCGGAGGGGCGGCCGGGACCCTACTGGTCTGGGCAGGCCCACTGCCCATCCCTTCCTGCTGCCCATCTGCCAGAACCCCAGGCCTTGTGCTTGATGTGCTCGTCAGCCCCAGCAGGCTGCCCAGCCCGCTGGACAGGCTGGCTGGGTGGGCTGCGCCCGTCCCTCACACAGCCCACCCACTTCTTGTCTGGAGTAACAGGGAGCTTGCCCACATCACCCACTTGGGAGGGGCAGAGGCTGCTTGGCCATGTGCAACATGCTGCCTGCTGCCCGCACTGCCCTCTCTGGATGCTCGCCCTGTCCCCATGTAGCCCAAGGAACCCTGGGCCCAGCTGGAGCCCCAAATCTCGCTGGGGGGGCCGCCCAGCTCCTTCTCAGAATTGCCACCTCCAGGGTGCTGCCCTGTACCTCCCTGAGTGCTGGACCCTGGAGGGCGGGATTGTCACCACTCACTGACTACATTGCCCAGGCTGGTGGGGGGTAAGCACCGGCGTGGACCCAGAGCTGTAGTCCAGCTCCACTCACAGCACCCACATGCAGCTGAGAGTGCCCCGGCCCCTCAGAGCCTCCCACTGCCCATTGACTGCGGCACCTGGACAAGGAGGTGAGGTCCTGGCAGAGCAGATGGGCTCAAGGCTGGGTCTGAAGCCAAGGCTGGTACCACTGTAGCCTGAGACATTCTGAGTGCTCCCCAGCTGGCACCTGCAGTGAGGTGGAGTGCTTAGCACTCGGCTTCCAAACTGGGCCCACTGCAGCACCGCCATACACTGTGTCCTGCTGACCTGTCCAGCCCAGACCATCCCCATCCTTTTTATTTAGTTAGTTTTGGAAAGTCAAAGTGACAAGGATAAAGGTTCATTCCCTAGATGGCCGGGGCTGAGTCAGACTTCGGCTCCCATGTGGATGGCACTTCTGCTGCCTGCTCAGCCATGAGTGGAAAGCTGGATTGGAAGTGGGGTATCTGGGACTTGAACAGTCACCATGTGAGATGCTGACTCTGCATGCAGATTAGCGTGTGACACCACGGTGTGGCCCCCGGTTATTTCCACCTGACTGCCAAGGGATGGACACATTCTTACTTGTTCATTAATTTGAAAGGCAGAGTGCCTGATGTTCACTTTGCAGTGGTCAGTGATAGCCAGGGCAGCACCGAACCAAAGCCGGCAGCTGGGAACTTCATTCCGTCTCCCCTCACCTGGACAGTGGGACACGGATGTGTCCACAGTTAGACCAGCAGCAGGCCTGCCCTGAGAGTGGAGGAGCTGCCCCAGACAGGCCCTACGGAGGGGGAGGTCTCAGGAGGCGTGGGTGGCCAGTGTCTTCCTGTGTGGCTAAGTGGAATGCACACCGCAGGATGGGGCTGTGGCAGAGGAGGGACCCTGCCTCTGTCAGGGCGTGCTTCATGAGCTGCCCCTGAGTCCCAGCCCTCCCCACAAGCAGATGTAGGACTTTGGGAAGCCAGCGCAGGGCCCTCCTGTCCTTGACCTCACCCTCCAGGGTGGACCTCCCCTCCCTGGGCTCTCTGAGGGCACTGAGGTCAGAGTTGGGGCTGTGGGGTGACCTCTGTCAGTCCTGGATCCCAGGACCCTCTTCCTCCTGGGCAGCTCTGGTCAAGGCCGCATGGGCAGCAACACTGCTGGGATGGCATGCCATGGCTGAGGCAGGCAGAAGTGGAGCTAACTCCATGCCTCCAGATCAGCCGGGGGTAAAGGTGCGCGAGGGCAGGACTAGATGCCTGGCAGCTCCATCCTGACACCAAGCTGCCCCAAGACCAGGTCAGAACCTCTGTCCCCACCCTGAGCTGCCCCCGAGGAGCCTGCCAGGCCGGGGCTTGGGGAAGCAGAAGCTGGGGCTGCTGTGTGCACTGGCCGCCCGGGAGGCCAGCACCATGAAGTGGAAGGATGCCTTCCGCCTCACGCTTCCTGCCTTCTATTCTGAGTCTGGGATGATGACCTCCCCACAGCTCTTGGTATTAAAATGCACTTTTGTGACACAGGCTTGTCTTTTAACTTCCTTTTTGATGAGAACTTGGCAGTCCCAGTCAGGCGCTGTGACTTTGGGATCCCCTGCAGTGGGGGCAGGGTGGCCATGGTGTAGACTGGTTGAGGGCCAGGGGAGAAGGTCTGGGTAGTAACTGGGCAAGTGGCGCCTAGCAGACTTCACTGAGCCTTCATTTGGCTCTGGGAGTCCTGGAGGACTGGGGCAGGTCCCCAGGGTGGGGACAGGAGGAACTGAACACAGTCACCAAGGGGGGAGGGGCACAGCACAACCCATCATCTCATTAGGGCCAAAGGGGGAGGGTGTAACTGTCAACTCCTTCCCCCCACCCACTGGAAGACCTGTGATCCCGTGGTGGGCCTCCGGCAGTGTCCCCAGAGGGGTCCAGGTGTGCTGCACTGGGAGAGAAGGAGGGAGGGCTGGGGGACAGAAGTGGTTGGTGAGTCTTACTCGTCCATTAATTTGAAAGGAAAGTGCCCGATTTTCCATCTGATGGTTCACACTGCAGTGGTCGGTGATAGCCAGGACAGCACCAAGGCAAAGCCGGCAGCTAGGAACTTCATTTAGTCTCCCAGGGGGTGCAGCCAGCCCCCAACCCCCTCTCCCAGACAATCCTCTGCCAAGCTGTTGGGGAGCTGGGTAGCCCTGGGGCCCTCCTGCCCTGAGACGTTAGGGGCCAATTGGAGAGGATCAGGTCCAACAACCCTTGGCCCCAGAAATTGCCCATTGTGGCCAGCTAGAGCCCAGGGTGGGGTGGGTGCAGGTGCCTGCCAGTCTGAGAATCCGCAGGTGCGTCCAGGGACTTGAGTCCGGCCTGGCCACGGCGCTGTCCCGGTCCCCAGCCCGGGCGGCCGCCCCAGAAGTGGTACCCCAGGCTGAGGGACACTTGCTGGTCGCTGGTCCTCTCCACTCTAGCAGCGGGGAACCTGGGCCGGGACCGCGCCCAGCTAGGCCCCGGGGCTTTGGGGTGCGCCCAGCAAGGCGGCCCCGCCCCCGGCCGCCCCTCCCCCGGTCCGCGCCCTCCCCCGTCGGGGGCGGGGCTGGCGGCTCCCGCGCGCTCCGGCCCCTCCTCGGCCACACAAAGGCCCGTCTCCATGGCAGCCGCGCGGGCCAGAGCGCAGCGCCGAACGCGGCCCGGGCGCCATCGAGCCTCGGTGGCCGACGCGCAGGTACGAGCTTGGGGCCAGGGCCTGCGGGGTCGCTTCGCCGGGCTGGGGGGTGGGCCACCATCCGCGCCGCCCCGCCTGTCCCGACGCACCCTGGCGTGCGATCGGGAGGCGGCCGCGGCTGGGCGGAGGGGGGCCGGGGCCTGGGCCGTGGTCTGGGTCCGCGGGCTGCAGCCGGCCGCCCCCGCCCCACGCTGCTCCAGGTGGCGGGCGAGGCCTGCGGCGCGTGGCCCTTGGGGCCGCCTCGGGCCTCATCTGGCTCGAGACCCTCCCGCTGCACCCGTTCCCCCTCCTCTCCAGATCCGCGCAAGGGCGAGGTGGTCCCTGCTGCGCGAGGGCAGGGCTTCTCCAGGCTCGGGTGCGGTGGCGATAGGCTGGTGCCGGGGACGAGCCTGCCTCCTGCGAAATCTCCCGTTCCCGGTTTGTGGTTCGTGTCGGGTGGGCGCTGGGACCCAGGAAGTCTCGGACTTGGAGGGTGGGGGGTGTGTTCGGTGCTTGGGCCTTGCTCTTGGCTACCAGCACTGCACCTCCAGATGCCTCCTCCTGCAGGAAGCCCTCCTGGATAGGTGCTTCTGTCTCCAGGTCGTTGGACCATTCTAAGGGGTGCGGGGCGCCTTGTGCCTCCTGTGTGGGAAGGTCTGAGCTCCGGAGTTCGAGTTCCCCGCTGCTAGGAACAAACCAGAAAGCTGCTGTGGCAGAAGCCAGAGCTGGGATGAGGAGGGCTCCCCGCTGCAGTCCCATATCAGCGCCTGTGACCCCTCGGAAGGTGGGAGCTGGTGCGGTAGGACCCCGCCCCTCCCCTGACGGTGGAGGGAATCAGCTTGCAGGCCCCTGCAGGCTCGGTCAGCTCCCGGGTGCACAGAGCCAGGGACCAACAGGTGGGCCTGGCCGGCCGGAGCCGCTCCCAGGTCTCCTGTCGCTGGCGGCCCCGGCCCAGGTTCCCCGCTGCTACAGTGGAGACCACTGACGACCAGGAGCCGGGGAACACTGGGCTCCCCGCCCTGCCTGAGGTCTGGGGAGCTGAGTGACCGACGGGGAAAAACACTGGTTTGGAATGTGAGGGCCCCCTCCCCCGCCGGCTGCCTGCCAAGAAGGAATTATTTTGGCTTATCCAGCCGTGTCCAGCCGCCGAGGGGGGCCCGGGCTGCAGCCTGCGGCCGTGGGAGAGGGATCCACTTCCGGGCCGCGGGTGAGAACCCTGAAGGGAGAACCGGCAAGTCCAGGCAGCGCCTCCTCCTCTGGCTGCTCCGACCGGTTGGGGGTGGGGCAGGAAGAGATGCGTCACCCCAGATTGGAGGAGGCCCCAGTGTCTGCCCTGGTGGGAAGCCAGGGACCCCCGGCTTCCCGCGCGTGGGCTTGGTGGGGATATGGACAGAGTCTACAGTCGGGCAGCACTGCAGTGTCCACTAGGTCAGCCTCAGGCTTGCTTGCTCCCTGTCCTGTTCTCTGCAGTTGCTTAGAGGGCCCTCGGATAGCCCAGCCCCTATCCTTGGACTGCTCCTGTTGACCCATCCCACAGGTGGGGAGACAGGCCACAGCTGGCTCCCCAAGTGGTTCCTGGGTGTCCCTAGGTCCTGTGCTATCGCCTGGATGGGGACTGCACAGGGCAGGCAGAGCCAGCAGCTGGGGCCCGGTGCTGGAGGCCCAGGGCTGGTCCCCATGCCCTGCCCGGTGAAGCAGAAGAGATGGGACTGGAAGGCTCTGGGTGGGCTGGCAGCTGCAGCCTCTGCATGGCGCAGGCCCCAGGACCTGGATCACCCAGGGGACTGGAGCCTGGCCCAGCCGTGCTGGGGTGGGCGGGACGCGGCTGTGCCTTCACAGCTCCTCCTGGGGTGTGGGACACCCGCCCGCCCTTGGGCCTCTGCCCCAGCCTCGTGGCTGGGAGCTGAGCTTCCCTCTGTGGCTGCAGCCTTGGACAGGGGCCGGGGAGGGGCGGGGGGGGGGGGAGGTGTCCTGATGAGGCTCAGACCCAGGCCGGCCTCTCAGCAGTTGCTGGAGGGTGGGGGGCCTGGGTAGAACCCCTCTCCAAGGGGAGCAGCTATTTGTGTGTGGGGTGGAGCCTCTGACTAATTTTGGGCTGGGAAGGGCGGGTCAGGACCTGCTTGAGGGGGTGGGAGGGCACAACCCCTGGCTCCCCTCTCCCGGCCCTGTGGTTCCCCTTGTCTTCTTCCGCTCTGGAGTTTCAGATCCCTAAAACAGGCCCCTGCTTCCCCCAGCCCCTTCTGCCAGCCAGCCAGGGTTCCCACTGCCTGGGCACCCATGTGGCCTATGCCAGGCCCGTTGCCTCTGTTGCCCCTGTGTGTACCCCATGGCCCTTGAGCCTTCCCTTGGCCACACAAAGCCTTGCAGCAGCCTCTGTCCCTCTGAACTCTGGACCCAGCCTCACGTAGGGCTGGGGGAGCAGGAATAGGGGTGCAAAGTGTGCTCCCTGCAGCTGGGGGGCTGTCCTCTTGCAGCACGCAGCTGGTTGGGAGACAGGGGGGTGCAGGGCATGCCCCTCTGCTCAGCCCCTGTTCATACCCCAGCCTGGTTCCTCTTGCCTTTTTTGTGGCTAGCCGCCTTTGTGTGATGGGGGGGTGTTGTGTCCCTGTGGACTGGCTGGTGACCCAGGATGTGGGGCCTGGCCTGGGGACAGAGTTGGCTGGAGTGCCGCACCCTCCTCCTAGGCCCTCATGGCCCCATGTGGTTCCCCATTGGGAGCCAGCCTCCTCTGGTCCTCCTGTGCCCCCAACCTAGCAGTGCTGTGTCTAGTG